ATAAATACGTTTTTCAAAAAAGTCGTTCCTATTTTTCAGTAAGAGGTTTTAGTTTGAGAGTTAAAAACCTAAATAATATAGCATATATATTAAAAAGTATACAATAACTGTTTATAATAGGCCCATGTAAGATGGTTCCCTACCCCCAAAATAGCCTAAACACACTTTTTATGTCAAATCGATTCGAAAATATGATCAAAAAGGTAAAATCAGGAGGTACTTTTATATGAGCACTACTTCGAAACATTGACATTGAAAAATTTCCGCGAAGAGGACTTCTACCAGAAGCTAGATGCCAAATAAGGGCAAAATCAATTGAAAAATGTGACCAAAACCCTGGTAATAGCTAAAATTACCGGATACCTTCACATAAGAGTTATAATGAAGCATGGTCCTATACTTATAATTATTTTAAAGAATTGTTTTTTCTTTCTAAAATCTCAAATAACCCACATTTAAGGAATTTGAAAGGGGCTATATCACAATTTAGACCAACCTGATACATATTTTGTACAAATGATTCCTCATGTAACCCCTAGGACTGTATCAAATTATATATTGGGCAACATATTTTCGGCCCTTTATGTATGGTTAAGCTATATAAAATGGACTCTAAAAAAGTTAGGTCCGGGAACCCCACTTTTGGGATTTTATTTACCAAAAATCTCCTAACCCCAAGATTGTCTGCGGCGCAGTGTAATTACTGACGATAGCACATAGTGCCCGTATAACATTGACTACGATTTAAAAATACTTTAAGGGTTTGGAAGAATTTTCCGAGTATATGAATCCTTTTCTTACTATATTTTCAATTCACTCCACTATTTTGTATAGTCCGCATATTACAGTGCCTCTTCATATTTGGTATTTCACTGATTGAAGTCCCAATGAATTTTGCATTTTGAGTTCTCTTTGGATGGATTATTTCTATATCTAATTAAAATTGAAAATTCGGGTATGGCAACCATATAACAGCATGTATAGAAAATATGCAAACTTTCTCGATTTTTTCGGTTTTTTCAATAAGAATTTTCAATTCCAAAAGGCATTCTGAAACACAGAATCCTACACAAAATTGCATATCATAATTGAACGGTCAATTTTTTCAGTTCCGCGATTTTTCTCAAAATTTTCTTTCATGACAACGTTTCCACTGTAATTACAAATAACCAAAAGAAAATTTGAGTCAAATCGTCCCAGCCGTTCTCAACTGAAGTGTTACTATGCTTTTTCAAATTTTGTACATATAAATTTAAAGAAGTAGGTGTGGCCAGTTCCTCTGACCCCAAACAGATACCTAGGGTTGGAGGGAGAGAGTCAAGATTACGTCGTATACAAACTGTGGAACAGATATCTTCATGATTTTGGCAAATATTAGGATTTTAGATTTTTCTTTGCATAAAAACCTAGTTCCAGTCGGTTTCAACTGATTCAATTACCAACGAACAACAGTTGGTTTATATAAAGATTAAAAAGTAGGCGTGGTCACTTCCTCAGCCCCAAAATAGATACTTAGGATTGAGGGAAAGTCAACAGTTTGTCGTGTAATAATTTTAAAGCCGATATCATCATTATTTAGCAAATATAGGGACTTTAGATAAATCGAAATAGTGGGCGTAAAAGTAGACGTGATCAATACTTTTTTTCTTTAAAAACATAACGTTTGTACAAAAAACAAAAAAAAAATATGTAAATCGGTCCAGCCACCAACTGATTCCATTACCACCGAACAACAATTGATCTTTATATATTGATGAACAATAAAAATATGAATATGTTACTTTTCGACCCTCTTCTTCTGATACATCTAGGTTTTTTGCACCGAGGTACGTGATCCAAATCCCAGCCGGGCTCAGCAGATTCATTTTTCTTTACCATTGAGTTTTGCCATATCAAGGCGATGTAATGAAAAAGAAAACCAGAGAGACGCAATCACTCACTCACCACAATGTGTTTACTTCCGTCTACTAGTATCAAATTCTGCTTGATGTATTAAATTATATTTTGATAAAATTCCAAACATTCATTATGTCTAATCCTAGTTTTGTATTTCTAAACGGTACCGTTTTACTTTTAAAAGTAGTTTGTTTAGCTTCAAATTGTAATTCTCTGGTTCCATGTTATGTAACACTTGTAAAATGTATGTTAGAAGTTGTAATTTCTCACCCATATATTGGCAGAATGTTATGCGATGAATTGGTATACAGTCTACATATGTACAAATATAGCTGGGGAAGACTGAACTCGGTTTTAAGTGCCTTATTTCTAAACAACCTTCCTTTTATTCAGAAATCATTGTCATATAATTTAAATAGTTTTAAACATAAATTTGAATTAATGGAAAACTTCAATGCATATTTTTTCCTAGTATTTGGATTATTTTAAAAGGTAATGAATAGGACTACGTGATTGCACGAAAAATCTACATTATAGTCGTACTTTACAACAGCAGTTTTGTACATTAATATTGCCTTAGGTAAGGTAACATTTTCTGACACTATTTGGATGATTTTAGCGAAATTATTCACCGGAATTGTTTCAAAGTTGGTATTTGAAGCCTATGACAGAAAATTTGTCTGTGCAGGTCCATGTTTTGGTATAGCCTTCATATAATAGACTTCCCTATATACGGTATTTTGATGATGTTGATCATGCAGGTCCACGTCGTCGTATAGACCCAAATATAACGACTACATTCAGTATTTTTAAAAGTTTTAACAGAATTTTTAACGGATATTATTTTTTTTTTTTTGAAAATTTCCAAATTCGTTCCAAATGGTGGAGGGTATTTTTTACTTGTTTTACCTAACTCCGTTACACTTTCCCAATTTAATTGAAATTGGAGATACACAGCGTGTTGGGTGCATCAAATACATGAAATCAGCCGAAATAATATATGGGAGCTATATCCAACTCTGAACCGTCTTTAATGTAATTTGATAAATTTATTTTTGTATCCAATTCCGTTACTCTTCGCAAATTTTATTTGAATCGTACATATGTATATATAGTGTTTGCTGCATAAAATACATAAGTCGGACGAAAATGTGTATGGGAGCTATATCCAAATCTGAACCGATTTCAATATAATTTTGTATATTTATTCTTGTACCAAACTCCGTTACACATTTCAAATTTGAAGGCTGTATCTATAACTGATCAAGAGATATTTGCATACAATACCTAAATTTTTTGGAGGTAACTCCGATTCTGATGCTTATATCCAGTTCCCAATGGAATTTCAAAAATTGTGTGTAGCCTATGTTACTTTCAGGCGATGTTATTATTAAATTATAGGAAATTCAGCGGTTTTGGAGCCTATAAATAACAAACCAACAATCAAACGTACAAACATCTTAGTTGAAACAAAATTTATAATTTTTTAAGTGTTTAGAGTTAAAACAGTATAATCCAAAAAGAAGGCATGGTAAATTAATCTTTCCCCTAAGTCTGGGTATGATGAACATTCGTAAAAAAAATCCAAAAGGGTTCAGCCGTTCTCAACTGATTCCATTACCAACTAACGACATTTGATTTGTCAGTTGTATGTTTTAAAAAGTAAGCGTGGTCACTTCCTTAGCCCCCAAATAATTATAATATATATATATATATATATATATATATATATATATATATATATATATATATATATATATATATATATATATATATATATATATATATATATATATATATATATATATATATATATATATAATTAAAAAACATTAATTCGGCGGGCGGCTCAAACAACAAATTTGAAACAATTTCAAGAAAAAATTTTTCTATGATCATCAAAACGCCGAATATCGGTTTATATATCAATTTGAACCGTGGACCAATGTGAACAAAGTTTTGATAACGGTCGTAAAACCGATTATGAACTACAACTACCATTTTAACAAATCAGAAAAAATGTGGCATAAATCCGAAAAATACCGACTTTTTAGAGGTGCCATTATATAGGAAAACGTAGAGCCAACTTACATTACCAACTCCTAATACCAAATTTGGAAGAATTCCGTGACAAATTGTGGCTGAATTCATAGAAATACCGAATATAAGTAGCTACCTTTATATGGCGTCAATAAAAAAACATGGCCACGATCTTTAAATCGTCTTTTATTCTGGTCATGAAACACAAAGTATACGACGAACAATTAGACGTGTTGCAAACGAAATGACAACGAATTTAATATACCCTCTTTTGTATGGCAGAGGGCATAACTACTGGGACATGCCGAACTTAGGCGCACTTAACATATGTCTTGCCTCTTTTATGAATAAATGAATACAAGAGAATATTAGCAGATAAAAAAGTGGTAGGGTGAGTGTTTGAGGTGGCAGAGTGGTTCAAAACTTGAGTTTGTTTAAATATTGGGGATAAGGATTTTAAAAACACAGATTTTGTTGTTTAGGTGCGTGTAGCTAAAGGTGGTTCTAATCAGTTTCAAATCTTGGGGCTACACAATATTTACTCGCGACCCATTGGTGGTCCTGATGCATACTTTAGGAAATACTTTTATAGGATATTTACTAGTACATTCTCTTGAATATTATTTTTTTAACATATGCATTTTGTATAGTCATCTTCTTAATCCGAATTAGCAAATATATGGGCTTAAAATACATAGAAGCATATGTCAACTTTTCGACTTAACCACCAATTAAACAATGCCGCCCGGTTTTCAGTGTTTTGAAAGATATACTATTCGCCTGCCGGTTTCACTTTCACTTGCTGTTTTAAATGGAGCTCTCTTGAGTATGAATAGTTGAGACTGTTATTTAAAAGGATTCCCTCTTACAATTTAAATACGTACTCCCCAATTAGAGAGTATTGGCTTGCCGTAGCAGTTTCAGTGCTATCCGGCAGATATATTTAAGACTTATTAAATGTTTCATTAAAATATAAAAAGTTCGAATAAAAAGGAAAAACATTAATTCTTATTAAAAAAATATATATTGATTTGTTGAAATAATTAATTACTTACTTTTTTCAGCTGTGTACATTGGGTACAGTCGGTTGGATGGTGCAATAATATTGCGTGGAATGTTGGTCCTCTTACTGCTCGACAATATTCACTAGCTGTGGAAAGATACGAATGGAACAAACTCCAAAACTTTAAAAGTATTGTACCAATGGTCCACCTAAGTTGGAACCTTGCGCGGAATATACGTGTCGCAGATCCAAAACTATTTGAATTGCTTAAGTACGTACCCTTCATAAAAACAATGTTGTTTGCATTTAATAATCTTTTATCTAATATCTCAAAAACTCTTTAATCCTTTATTTTAAAAATTTAGGCCTGTATCATTGTATTATTCTATACATTAGCTAAATATGTAGTTTAGTCTAGATACGCCCTGCTGGATCAATTTCCAATTTCATTGCAAATGCATTAAAATTCAAAAAAGGATGAAAGGATTTTATTTCAAAAGAATCAAGCCATATCATATATAGACAAATCTATTTGTGGGTGTAAAGTACTCACAAAGAACTTCTTGTGCAGTATTTCAGACAATTCAAAATTCAAAATATCGAATATCGGGAGGTACCGTTATATGGGGGCTATACTATATTGCAGACCTATATAGAAAATTCTCTTTTAGGGGGTAAAGTACTCACAAGGAACTCCTTGTATCGAATTTCTGACAATTCCATCGAAAAGTGTGGCTAAAATAATCAAATTACCGAATATCATATCATCATGTACAGATATAGCCCATCTCCGAACTTTATCTGCCTGCAGACCAAAGCCATATCATATACCTGTGCAAAATGTTAGCTTCCTATCTTAATTCGTTTTGACTGTATCGTGATTACAACAGACGGATGGACGGACAGGGATAAATCGTCTTAGAATTTTTTCAAGAATATATATACGTTATTATTATTTCGATGAGTTACAAACGGAATGACGAAGTTAATACACCCTCTATAGTATGTAAGGTGAAGGGTATATAAATACCGAATATTGGTAGGTACCGTTATATGGGTGCCTTTGCAAAATGTTAGCTTCCTATCTTAATTCGTTGTGACTGTAACGTGATTACGACAGACGGATGGACGGACAGGGATAAATCGTCTTAGAATTTTTTCAAGAATATATATACTTTGTTATTATTTCGATGAGTTACAAACGGAATGACGAAGTTAATACACCCTCTATAGTATGTATGGTGAAGGGTATATAAATACCGAATATTGGTAGGTACCGTTATATGGGTGCTATGCGAAAACATAGACCAATATATTTCCATTACAAACCATCCTAGACACAATACAAACTATTGTGGCAAATATGAAACCTCTACGTAAAATAAACTGGGCTGTATTTGTGATTCCAACAGACAGACGGACATTGTTATGCTTATCATGAATATATATACTTTATCTGGTCTACGACGAATATTTATAGATGGAATGAATGACAAACGGAACACAATACCCTTGTTGGAGGGTATAGACATAGGTTTTCAAAAGGTATTATAATTTCGTGAAAAGTTTTCTACTATCTAAGATAAGGTTCAATAATTGGTATTTTAGATAAATTATGATAAGATTGTCTCAAAAAAATTATGGATTCTGTGTCCATACGAGCAACTAGGTAAAAAGACCCGTTTTGCATGTTTTAGCGTGTTTTACGATTACTGATTTAATAACTTAAAACCTTATTCAATAAATGGCTACAAATACACTTTAAAAATAACGGTCTTAATACATTTTTTAAATATTCATTGTATTTGCTTTAAACAGATGCTCACATTTTAAAATTTTTGTTCTTCTTTCGGAAAGCTTGAAAAGACATTTTGATGATCAATTTGTCCATGATACTGTTTTAAATTTGCTATTTAAGACCCACATTATAAATCAATCCTTATTGCATTTTGAAAACTTTAACTGTATTCTCCAACCGGGGAACATTCAACCCGGTCGACATTTTTATTTTTTACTTGCTTCTTCCGTTCACTCTCAATGAAGTGAAGCCCGAGTAAGTTTATTTTAAAAGCGCTCTAAATTTAACAAGCTAAAAATGATCTGTACATATAAAAATCAATTGTTCGTTAGTAATGGAATCAGTTGACAACGGATGAACCGATTTGCATAATTTTTTGTACCGAGTTAAGTTTTTAAATAAAAAAATATTGGCCACGCCTACTTTCACGCCCACTATTTCGAATTATCTAAAGTCCTTATATTTGCCTAATAATGAAGATACCGGTTTTAAAATTATTACACGACATACTGTTGACTTTACCTCCAATCCTAAGTATTTATTTGGGGCTGAGGAACTGACCACGCCTACTTTTTAATCTTTATATAAACCAATTGTTGTTCGTTGGTAATTGAATGAGCTGAGACCGACTGGAAAATTTTGGATATTTTTTTAAATGTTCGTCCTTCCCCGATTTAGGGTTTTATGCAAAGAAAAAATGACCACGCCCAATTTTGCGCCGATTTTTTTCGAAATAGTGAAGTGAATTGAAAATATAGTAAGAAAAGGATTCATATACTAGGAAAATTCTTTCAAACCCTTAAAGCATCCTTAAATCATAGTTAATGTTATACAGGTACTATGTGCTATCGTCAGTAATTACACTGCGACAATCTTGGGGTTAGGAAATTTTTCGGTTGGTAAATAAAAATCCCAAAAGAGGGTTCTCGGAACTAACTTTTTTATAGTCCATTTTAAATAGCTTAACATAAAGGGCCGCAAATATTTTGTCCTATACTCCGAAAAAGTTACGATAAAGTTTTAAATGTGATGCAGTCCTAGGGGTTACATGAGGAATCATTTGTACAAAATATGTATCAGGTTGGTCTACATTCAAATGATATAGCCCCTTTTAAATTCCTTAAATGTGGGTAATTTGAGATTTTAGAAAGAAAAACAAATTCTTTCAAATAATTATAAGTATAGGAACATGCATCATTAACTCTTATGTAAATGTATCCGGTAATTTTAGCTATTACCAGGGTCTTGGTCACATTTTCAACTGATTTTGCCCTTATTTGGCATCTAGCTTCTGATAGAAGTCCTCTTCGCGAAAAATTTTCAATGTCAATGTTTCGGAGTAGCACACATATAAAAGTACCTCCTGATTGATTATGTTTTCGAATCAATTTGACTTAAAATGTGTGTTTATGCTACTTTGGGGGTAGAGAACCATCTTACATGGGCCTATTATAAACAGTTAATGTATACTTTTTAATATATATGCTATATTATTTAGGTTTTTAACTCTCAAACTAAAACCGCTTACTGAAAAAGAGTATCAGGTTTTTTGAAAAACTATTTCTATTTAATCGAGTCATCATTTATACTAAAGATTGTTCCACTTGGGTGAGCCAGATTTGTGAATTATTATGCTATGCATTACAGACTAAAACTACGGACCGGCCACGCGAACTGAGCCAGCTAGTATGTATATAAATCAAAGCAATTATTTCATTAATATTTTAGTTGTAAAACTAAACTGACTTTATTCTTCGAATTTTCATATATTGTTATTTAAATCTGGTGATATTTTAGCAGAATACGAAGTATACAAATTAATAAATATGCTTATTTGGCACCGCGTGTTGACGGCAGCGAATTGTTGAGCAATCGAAGAAATATGATACTGCTAAAGTGGCAATCAATCATTTTTGTGTATTGGGTGGTTAACTACTTTTTAATTAATAGCTCTTCTCTAAATTCCGAACGTCCTCGTTCGGTTAAAAGTACGAAATTTGATAAATTCTTGTTATTCCATTTGGACAATTCTGGAATAGAAGTTCGTTCGTCTTGTCGTTGTTTCCTTTGACCGGTTTTCGACCAGAACTGCATACAAGTATATATTTACGTCCTCTGTCGTGCTAACTATCTTTAGATTTCTTAATATGATTTGATGTATCTGTCATTTTTTAATATATTCGTCAGCATCAATGTAAGGTCAGAGGACATTCGTGTATTTGTGATAATGGTAATTATGACATTTTTTACACAAAAGTTGAGGTCTATTTTACCTGCTAAATATTATTTAATACAAGAATACTCACATTTTTATTAGCCATATACAGGCAATTCTGAAACTGTCAATATCTGTTCAGCCGTTCTTGAGTTGTATGCATAAAATCTAACATAACTTTCTTTCTTATAGAGATCGCACATATTTTCATATATATTCAATGTACTGTCTGTCTTCATCAATGTAACGATCAGAATTTTAAAATATTCCTGGTTTCATAGAAATGTTGATTTTTTACATAAAAGTTAAGGCCAATTTCACCCTCTAATATCCGCTGACCTTACAAATTGTTTGGCTTTCGGCGTATATGATTGTGAGCTGTAGAGTAACTGCAGATTCAGTAAATTTTTGTGATCTTGGCCCATATTTTGCGATGATTACCAAAAACAACAGGATTTTATTCTGCCCCAAACTCCAACTTTATGCAAAATTAACATGGACAGACGGACAGAAGATCCATGTATAACATCGTGGACTTAGGACCAATATTTCACGGTGTTACAAACTTTTTGGTCCAATTAAACGTATAATCACCCCAACACACTATGTTGTAGATATGATAATGGATTCTTGTACGAAAAGTGCTGCAAGTAATTGTGACTACTTTTCCATTTATTTCACTAAAATTTGCGAAGAACAGGAAAAGCTTAGGCAACAATAGGTCGCATTATTTGCCGCAACCTAACTTCGGGTGTTAAATCACCCCGCATCTTCATCAGCCCTTGATAGCTGAAGAAGACCTTCCTCGCTCTATCCAGGATAAAATCTATATGTCCATTGAAATCAAAATTCTTTTGAAAAATGATCCTAAGGTATTCTATCCTTTATTTCCACAGTATGAGGTCCAACTTTCACGACCGGATGGTAACTTGTAAAAATTGGACGAACATATTGTGTTTTCCCGGTAAATATAATTGCCGAGCATTTGTCCCCATATAGCTTGAGGCCCCAGACGGTAAAGAACCTATATAAGACCTAAGATAAATGTTCAGAAGTGCTTCCGCTATACGAGACAATGGGGCCGTATACGCCACAAGCACATCATCGGCATATGACAATGTTAACCCTCCACGTGGAGGTGCAGGCATGTCACTGACATAGATGTTAAACAACATCGGCCCTAGGAGGGAGCCCTGGGGCACGCCAGTCAGTACAGGTCTGCGACTAGATAGTCGCTCAGCTACCCTAACTCTAAAAT